CTTAAACTCAACATCTCCAAAACCAGGCCCATCAGCATCCCCCCAACCCTCCCCTCTTCCTCATGTCCTATCACTGTTGAGGGCATCATCATGATCCCAGTCACCCACACCACCAAACCAAGTGTCATCCTGGACTCCTCATTCTCTTTCATTCCCTGTACCTAATCTGTTGCCAAATGTTGAGCATTCTGCCTCTTGGCACCTTTTCTATACATACACTTCTCTCCTCTGTCACTGCCACCAAGCTCTCTCCACTCTAATCAATCCTTCACTCAACTGTCAAGCTCATCTTCCTAAAGCACTACTCTGATCCTATCATCTCTCTATTCAGTAAACTCCAGGGGCTCCTCGGGCCCTCCATGATCGAATGTAAAACCTTGTGTTTGCTGTTAAAACCCCCTTGTAACCTGCCTCCTCCTTCCAATCTTCTCACGCCTTCCTCTTTCTTCCCTACTCTGTGATTCCATGACAATGGCCTCCTTTGGTCAAGACACTCCACCTCCTGACACTAGGCATTTACACTGGCCAGCCCTCATGCCTGGAATGCCCTCCCTCCTCACCTCTGCCTCCTGGTCTCCCTGGCTTCCTTCAGGTTTCAGCTAAAATCCTACCTTCTACAGGAAGCCTTTCTCAACCCTTTGTAATTCTAACTAATTCTTAATACATAAATTCTCTCTCTTCATTCTTCCTAATTTCCCTCTAGTGACGATTTCAAATTTATCTCTATGTATCTTGTTTGTACACAGTTGTCATTAGCCTGGGAGCACCTTCAGCGATGGGACCACCTTTGCCCATCTTTGGGTCCTAAGTGCTTACCAAAGTGCCTGGTACTTAGCTGGTGCTTAATAAATGCCCACTGACTTGCTCTCTGCCCCCTGGGAAAGTCACTTAACATACCTGACTGTGCCTCAGTTTACTCACCCCCTGTCTATTCTATTTCAACAGCTGCTTAATTGGTGTCCCTGCCTCCAATCTCTCAGACTTCAGTCTATGCTACTCTCTGCTGCCAAAGGAAGCTTCCTCAAGCGTACAGCTGATCACTTCATGTTCAGTGTCGATGCTCTCCTATAGTCCGTAGGATCAAGTAGAACCTTCTCTGTTTAGCTTTTAAGGTTCTGACTAATATGGCCCCAACCTATCTCTCCAGCCTCATTATACATTATTCTGCTTCTCCCACTCCATGATCCAGCCATAGTAGCCGTCATTGTCTTCCCTGCATAGAGCACTGAGTCTCCTTCCTCCACACCTTTGCACTGGCTCTGCCCCGTGCCTAAAATGCCCTCCCTCCTCAACTCTGACTCATGGAGCTTCTCTCCTTCTTTAACTCAAGCACCATCTTCCCCATTCAACTTTTCCTGATCCCACCAGGTACTAGTCTTCTCCCTCCCTAACCACCTTGCATTTAACTGCTTTGAGTATATTTGTATTGATTCACAATTTATTTATACTATTTATTTTTACATATAAAGGTATATATGTCTTTATATATTTTTGTTGTTGTCTCACTAGTATAAGGTCCTAACAGTTCCATTCTTCTGTTCTTTGCACTTCTATTTCCAGGGCCTAGAACATAGCAGCTGCTGAACACTTTTGGGATAATGGATTGGTCAATTATAATGGATGATTGAAGGGGCCATAGGTGTCAAAATGGATAGAGCACCAGTAGCAGAGTCAGGAAGACCCGACTTCAAATCTGGCCACAGAAGCTCGATACTTAATAGCTGTGTGACCCTGGGCAAATCACTTAACTCCAACTGCCTCCCTGATAATAATAATGATGATGAGGAATAACTGAATAATGGATGGGGGTCCACTATCACAGACTGTCAGAGTTGGATGGCACTTCGAAGGTCACCTAATGCAACCCATTCTTTCCTGCAAACTCTTTTCAGTAGTTTTGGAAGTTCTCTTCACTTCCTGCAGAAAGACGCCTCCCCTTTCTTTCACAAGTAACACCACTTCTATGCTTGAGTTTACAAATTGTCCTGAAGGGCCTATCGAAGGAGAATCATTTCATTTTTTTTTTCATGTTTTACTGATGCTTTTTGTTTTTATACCACAGGCATCTCCTGATATATTCCTTCCCTCTGCCCATCAACAACACTCTCCATTTCTCAGCTCTGGGCATTTTCACTGACTGTCCTTCAAGCCTGGAACACTCTCCCTCTTCACCTCCTCCTCCTGGCTTCTCTGGCTTCCTTGCAGTCCCAGCTAAAATCTCCCCTTCTACAGGAAGCTCTTTCTGATCCCTCTCAATTCCTGCCTAGTTTATGTTAATTATTTCCTATTTATCCTGTATATGACTTCTTGCTTGTTTTCTCCCCCATTACATTGTGAGCTGCTCATGGGGAGGAACTCTCTTTTTGCCTCTGTTTGTATGTGAGCACTCAGCACAGTGTCTGGCACACAGCAGGCACTTAATAAATGCTTATTGGCTGGCACATACTAGGTGCTTAATAAGTGCTTACTGACGACCTAATGGAGCACTGACCAATAAGAGGCCAGGCCTTCAAAGCATGCAAAGCATGCTCTGCCTGATGCAGTTCCTAGCATGGATGTTTGCTGGGTCTGCTTCCATGCATGTACCATGGTGAAGGCCCTGCTCAATACTTCAGAGCAGGTGCAGGTCATCTGACTGTTTCCTGTCCCCTAACTGTGTGGTGATGAGACTTTTTGATTGGCCATCAAAATGAAAACAGTGTATGCATACAGAAGCCCCTGTGACTCAGTCTCTCATTCTTTCCTCCCTGGCAGAAAGAATTCTTTCCTACCTCTGTCCCTAGACAGGGGGCACTGCCTGCTGTCCACCTGCAGTGTTCATTCTAAGAGAGGCAAACAGAGCTAGGCTGTATGAGCATGTTTATTTCTCACACAGAGGCAGACATTCATGCACAACATCCAGGGAGTTCATTGGGAAACGAGCTCAAAGAAAGGCCATTTGAAGGACACCATATACCCATACAGCAAGGAACTGTTCCCTCCTCCCTTTCCCCTGTGTCCTTTGTCAGTAAAATTATACTTTCCATAGAACAAGACAGTGCCCCTAGGGTGCCTGGTTTCTGTCAGCCATAAACAAGAGAACGTCATAAAATAAGAGAGCGTCACGGTAGGATAGGGTCCCTAAAACAATGAGATGAGAGAAATACCATTCATCAAGATAGTGTCAGGTTCACAGTGACTGGCCCTCATCAGTCATAAACAGGAGAATGCTCTGGTCAGCTTCATCTAGCAGGAAAACTCTGGATTCACTCAGAGAGCATCCCAAAGGATTATGGCATGTTAACTCAGACTGGGACAAAATGTCCCCTTGTGATTGACCAGTCCGGGTTTTCAACCTCCTTGGGGCGAGGAAGGGCTCAAACAGGTCTCATGCTACCTATCAAGGGTCAGGCCAAAACCTTTTGGCATGGAGGGAGCTCTGAATCAGAGACAGAGATAGTATTGGCAGTGTGAAACAAAAGTAATAATACTGGCTTTGGCCAAAGGAGAAAGCCAGCCAACTGAGAGCCATCCCCAGGGACCTTTGCCCCACCCCACCCCAGCTCTGTAACTCTGGGATACAAAGGGTGGGGAGGGGTTGCCATTGTGATGGAGGATAAAAGGGAGGGAGGCATTTTTTTTTCCCTTCTCTCCAGGGACAAGATACTAGGAGGCCATCTGCAGTCAATGCATCCAGTGTGGGGGCTGAAGAAACTTATCTAGAAACCAGAGGGATTTATAGAGGGCCCAGGCTGCTGCTGCTGCCATAGGAAGACACAGACTGGAACCCTAAGGGCCCAAGATGGGAGGGAGTCAGAGGGCCACTTGACATCCTAGGACTTCTCTGGGAGGGCAATGAACAGCCTACACAGCTTTCAAGATCATGTCACTCAGAGGACCAGGGTCCAGGTGAGGAGTTAAGGGCAGAGGCCCAGCAGCATCAGTTGCTTCTCTGGGGTCAGGGCTGGGGACATAGCCCGAGCTGTGTCCCCTGACTCCCCTCCTGTGCAGCCAAGTGGCCATGGATGAAGAAGAAAGAGAGTTGTCTTTCAGAGCGCCCCCCATGTGGGAGTGGGGTCTTGGGCTGGGTCCTCCCATGCCAGCTGGGGGTTCTTCCTTCTGTTGATAGCGGTACTCCTTCCAGGCACTCATTGTGCCTTGGGATCAGTATATTACACTTCCTATGAAGTAGTCATCCCCAAGAGATTAATAACCAGGGAAGAGAGAAGGAGCAGGAAAAATCTCCTATTCAATATTTATGAGAGGCAAGAGGCAGGTGATTCATCTGAAACAAAAGAGAGGGCTATTTGCTAAGAACTTCCCTGTCTACACTTACTACAAAGGGAAGCTAGTTTTGGACATGCCTTTTCTCCCAGATGACTGCTACTATGATGGATATGTGGAAAGTGATCTGGGCTCCCTAGTGTCTCTCAGTACCTGCTCTGGCCTCAAGGGCATAATAACCATAGAGAAAACAGTCTACAACATTGAGCCCATTGATGCCTCAAGTAAGTTTGAACACGTCCTGTACAAAATGAAAAAGGACACATTCGATCCCTGCAAGGGACCTAAGAGGGAACCTCTTCAATTCAGGAGCCATTTAAAAGGGAAAGAAGATGTAGGTGATATGGATGAGAGAGAGAGTGAAATTGAGAGAACCCCTATGGATTATATCTGGTCACACACCAAGTATGTGGAGACGTACATTGTGGTTGACAAGAAAAGGTTCCAAAAGTGGGCGGAAATGTGACCAAGACAACCGAGAAGGTGATGGACGTCGTCTCACAGCTAGACAGCTTGACCTATGAGTTCAACACCAGAGTCGTCCTGATTGGTTTGGAGATCTGGACAGAGGAAATCAGGCCTATATTTCAGAAACAGATATAAGGTTCGCCCTTATAACTTTCAACATATGGATGGCCAACAACGTCTTCAATAGGCTGATTCATGATAGTGCCCATCTGATCGTCGGGCATCGTCCTAAAAGTGCAATGGGTGATGCCTATTTCCAAAGGTTTGTACACATTACAGAGCTGCAACGATTAACTCCTTCTATCATGAAGACATAACCCGCTTCACTAACCTCCTGGCCCATGAGCTAGGTCACACCCTAGGCATGATGCATGACCATTCAGGCTGCAGATGTGGAGAACAATCTTCCTGCATCATGAATGAGGCTGTCACCCGTGAGAGTCGTTACAGTAATTGCAGTATTGACAACTACTATGAATTTATAAGGACACGCCGTGGGACCTGCCTCTACAACAAGCCAGACCCCAGCAGAATAATGAGGAAGTCAGTCTGTGGGAACCGAGTGTTAGACAGAGGGGAGGAGTGTGACTGTGGCAGTGTTGAGACCTGCTCGAAGGACCCTTGCTGTCTTCCCACATGCAGGATGACCAGAGGTTCCGTATGCGCCTTCGGGCCCTGCTGTGAGGGCTGCCAATTTCGGTTAAGGGGCAGTGTTTGCCGTCCCAGTAAGGATGAGTGTGACCTCCCTGAATATTGCAATGGTACCTCCATGTGGTGCCAACCAGATGTCTACAAACAAGATGGCACCCCGTGCGCACGTGAAGGGATTTGCTATGGAGGGCACTGTCAGGACCTGAATAAACAGTGTGTTGAGATCTTTGGCAAAGAAGCCATATCTGCCCGAGATAGTTGCTATCGGTTCATGAATTCCAAAGGGGACCGGTTTGGGAACTGTGGCAGTGTATTTACTGGGCTGCACAAGAACTTTCTGAGTTGTGCTGACCATAATGTCAAGTGCGGGAAGGTTGTATGTGAGAAGGTGCTGAACATACCCCACAGTAAGAACCACCACACCTTCATCCAGGTGAGGTATGATAAAACTTGGTGCTGGGGCGCAGACCTCTTTGAGGAGGTTGGTGTTCCTGATAGAGCACGAGTGTCCAACGGTACCAGATGTGCCCCGAACAAGGTCTGCATCAACAGTGTCTGCTCATCTCCTGGAAACTTCCTCTGGCCTCAGTGCAATCCAACTATCAACTGTCATAGAAGAGGGGTGTGTAACAACTTGAGACACTGCCACTGTGATTCTGGCTATGCCCCTCCAAATTGTAAGACAATAGGTCATGGGGGCAGTATAGATAGTGGGCCCATTGTTCTAATTACAATCACAACTCCCCAGACCACGACCACTCCCACCACTACTACCACCACCAATACCCCCACAACTACCACCCCCACCACTACCGCCAACACAACCTCCCATACCAAACACCCTATCACCCCCAACCCCAGGACCACCCCCACCCCAACCACCAAAACCACCCCCACCCCTCCCACCACCAATACACCAACCAGCACTACCTCCACCCCCACACCCACCAGCACAACTCCCTCCACCACCACCACCACAACTCCCTCCACCACCACCACCACCCCTTCCCCCACCACCACCAGCATTTCCCCCACCCCCACCACCACCACCCCTTCCCTACCCACCATCACCACCACCCCTTCCCCCCCCACCACCACCACCCCTTCCCCACCCACCACCACCACCACCCCTTCCCCCCCACCACCACCATTTCCCCCACCCCCACCACCACCCCCCTTCCCCACCCACCACCACCACCACCCCTTCCCCCACCCCCACCACCACCCCTTCCCCCACCACCACCACCACCCTTTCCCCACCCCCACCACCCTTCCCCACCCACCACCACCACCCCCTCCCCATCACCACTATCAGCACCCCCTCCTCCCCCACCACCACCCCAACTACCACCACTGTGACCACTCCCACACCGTCCCTAAGAACCACGACCACTACCACCACTACCCCGAGACTACCACCAACCCCACTACTACCCTCATCCCCACCCCCACTACCCCCACGACTACCACCACTCCTACAATTACCACAACCACTACCCCTCCCACTACCATCTCCACCACCACTCACCAGATCATCACCACCACCACTATACCCACAACAACCACCACCACCACCACCACCACACTTCCTCCTCCAGTCAGAACCACCTCCTCACAGAACCAACCTACTGATCCCCGAGGGATTAAACATACTCCTTCTAGCAAGCACCCAACAGAAAGACATAGTGAACAACTACTGGCCATCCTCTTATTCCTGGTTACCCTCATCCTCCTTGTGAACAGTGTAATCTGGTACCTCATAATCCTGGCCTATGCCCAGAAAAGGAAAAGAAGAAAAAGGAAAGCCGCACGAAACAGGCTCAGAAAAGCCCGTGTAAGAAGGATCTGAAGGAGAAGGATTGGGCATCTCCCAGGACCTCTTGCATGTCACCAACTCATGCTTTGGAAGCATAGCTGTGATTTGGAACAGGAATCATTTGAATAAAAAGATAAGTGAAAAATACAACTGTGTTCAGGAGAGATGTGGGTTTCAGCTTGGGGCTACACACACAGAACTCGGGTCTCTCTTGAGTTATGCGAACACATAGGGGCTCAACGAGGAGACTAGGACTGCGAGGCAGACCCTTTGAGAGGCTGGGATCATTGGCAGATGAGAAACGCAATCTCCAGAGAGGATGGGACCTCAGGGACAGGGCAGGGTGTCTGGGCTCAGGATGCTATATTTTTCTTTCTTTTTTCCTTGGAACATTTCCAATATGGCTCTAAATTCTCTGGATCAGTCACCACTCAGGTCCTCCCACCCTTCAGACCTAAGGACATAAGTTTCCTTCCCAGTATCTCCCTGTACTCTTGGCTGCTTGGGTCCCAGGACTTGCTCTAGATCAGTACCCTCACCACCCTGATTATCTGTGACGTTCACATCTTTCCTGTGTCATTCTTCTGTGTATTCTTGTCACCTCTTTTTAATCTCTTCTGCTTCTGTTAAATCTCTACCCTTTTGGTCTTTTATCATGCCATTTTTGCATGAAAATTTCCCTTCATATCTCTAATTTTCTTGAAGAGACCTCTTGTCTTTCCCATTTCATTATCTTCTATTTCTTTGCATTGCTCAGGGCTGTGGGCTCCCTCCCATGCTTTTTAGCATGATGTTTCCAGCTATGTCATCAGAAGTCTTCCATGGGGACTGACACAGCATCAGTGCCAACAACCACACTTACAGCAAATTGTTCAACTTCAGAAGGCCACAAGCCAAGACTAACGTGGCATGAGAGTTGGTGTGTGATCTTTTGTTCACAGAGGATTGTGCTCTCAATGCAGCCTCTGAAGCTGAGGTGCAACAACGTGAGGATAGATTCTCTGCTGCTTCTGCTAATTTTGCCCTAACAATTAACACCAAGAAAATGCAGGTGCTCCAGCAGCCAGCACCATACCAACCATACATGGAACTGTCTGTCCCAGCAAATGGAGAGATTTTCAGTGCCGTGGATCACTTCACTTACCTGGGCAGTATACTCTCTAGAGATGTACACCTTGATAATGAGATTGACCCACACACTGAAAGACCGAGCTCAGTGTCTGGGAGGCACCGAAGGAAAGTGTGGCAGAGAAGAGGCATTAGGCTGTCTACCAAAGTAAACGTCTGCAGAGCCCTGGTACTGACCTCAGTGTCGTATGCCTCTGAAACCTGGACGGTCCACCAGCAAGATGCCAGGAAAATGAATTGCTTCCATTTGAACTGTCTTAGGAAGATTCTGAAGATCATCTGGCAGGATAAGATACTGGACACTGAGGTTCCTTCCTGAGTTAAACTGCCGAGTATTCAAACTCTACTGCAGAAAGCACAACTCAGATGGACTGGCCATAGTGAAATGCCAAATGTACGCTGCCCTAAAACACCATTTTGTGGAGAACTCACGCAAGGAAGGTCTTCACGTGTTGGTCAGAAGAAGCGATACAAGGACACTCTTAAGGTCTCTTTGAAGAACTTTGGAATAAATGGCAGGACATGGGAGACACTGGCACAGGACTGTCCAGCATGGCAAGCTGGCATCAAAGAAGGTGCTGTGCCCTGTGAGCAAAGCACAACTGTAGTGGTTCAAAAGAAACATGAGATGCCCAAATTTACAGATATGTCCATCTAATTGTTCAGATGGACTGTTTGCCTGCACTCTGATACTGAGCTCACACTGATCTCATCACCCACAGCTGGACACACTGCACCTTGACCCCAGGACAGTGACGTCATTTAGGTCCTCTTCCACGATGAAGGACAACAACCGAGTTATCCCTCCCTGCTATTCTCTGGAATCCTCCATTAAGTGGGGTACATCTTTCCCTTTCTCTTCCCCTTTCCCTTTCCTTCCTTCCTTGGCTCATTGTAAAGCCTCCCCACACATAGCTGTTCTGCTTTTTTCTCTTCTTTTTCGCTGGAATGTTTTTTGGTTGCTGCCTCCTGTACACTACCGCACACCTCTACCAGACCGAATCCCTTAAATCTATCACTCAATTCCACTTCTTTTTAGGTCACACCTATATGGTCTTATTAAAAAACACAACAGTGTCCACTGGATTGGAAAAGATCAGTTTATGTCCCAACCCTTAAGAAGGGCAATGCCAAGCAATCTTCAGATTCCTGAATAACTGCATTCATGTCACACACCAGCAAGGTTATGCTTGAGATTCTGCAACGGGGCTTCAGCGACATGTGACCCAAGACTAGCCAGAAGAGCAGGCTGGTTTTGGAAGAGGCAAAGGAGCTAAAGACAAAAATGCCAACATTCCTTTGATTAGGGAGGAAGCCAGGAAGTTCCAGAATAACTTTTAGTTCTGCTTTCTTGACTCCTTCAAAGAAAGAAAAAGCAATAAGAGGAAAGTGAAAAAATGTGCTCTTGGAAGCTATTTTAAAGGATGCAAAGAAGAGAACACAAAGAGGGTCAGAAGGAAACACAGAAGCAAGACAGCTTTGAAAGGCACGGGTTGAATTCATCATACCCTTACAAGGAAAAGCAAACTAGTCATTGAGATTCCTTGACGACACTAAAGCCTTTGACTGTGTGGATCCCCAAATATGTGACAAGGTCTCAAAGAGAGGGGAGGACCAGATCGTCTGACTTGTCTCCTGAGGAACCAGTGTGTGGACCAGGAAGCAACAGGGAGAACTGAACATGGAATAACTGAGTGGTTTAAGAATGGAAAAGGAGTGTGACAAGGCTGTATGTTCTCACCTCATGTCACTTATATGCAGAGTATATCATGTGAAATGCCAGCCTGGATGATTCAAAAGCTGTAATTAAGGTTGCCAGGAGAAATCTCAACAATCTCAGATATGCAGACAATACAACTCTCGTGGCAGAAAGAAGAATTAAGAAGCCTCTTGATGAGGGTGAAAGAGGAGAGTATAAAAGCTGGCTTGAAGCTTAACATTAAAAGGCCAGAGATCTTGGCAACTGGTGCCATCACTTCCTGGCACAGAGAGGCAGAAGAAATGGAAGCAGTGTCAAATTTTATATTCTTGGGCTCAAAGATCAACGCAGATAGCAACTGCAGCCATGAAATGAAAAGATGCCTGCTCCTTGGAAGGAAAGCTATGGCAAATCTGGACAGTGTACTAAAAAGCAGAGACATCACCTTGCCAACAGCCCAAGGTATGGTTTCTCCAGTAGCAATGTATGCCTGTGAGGATCAGACTATAAGGAAAGCTGAGTGCCACAGAATTGGCCCTTATGTAAGCATGTCCTTTTGGTTTTTTTTAAGGCAGATGGGGTTAAGTGACTTGCCTAGGGTCACACAGCTAGTAAGTGTCAATTGTTTGGTCTGAGGCCAGATTTGAACTCAGTTCCTCCTGACTCCAAGGACTGTGCTCTATCCACTGTGCCACCTAGCTGCCCCAGAATTGGCACTTTTGAACTGTGGTGCTGGAGACTTTTGAGACTCCCTTGGACAGCAAGGAGGGCAAGTAAGTCAATATTTAAAGAGTTAATTCCAGGAGCTCAAATACTGAAGCTGAAGCTTAAATACATAATGAGAGGATGGGACTCACTGGAAAAGACCCTGGTGTTGGGAAGGATTCAAGGCAAAAGGCAAAGGAGGCAGCAGAGGATGAGATGGACAGAAGGTGTCATGGAAACCGTAACCATGAGCTTGGAGATGGCGAAGGACAGAAGGGCCTGGCGTGCTGTGGTCCACGGAGTCAGGAAGAACTGGACATGGCTGAACAGCTCAACGACAACAACAATGGCGTCCTGACTCCCAGCCCAGCACTCTACTGACTCTGATCACGTGAATTACCACACATTGTCACCTAAGCTGCAGTCGCGACACTGCTATCTGGGTGCCATTTGCTCTTCCCAACTTACACACCAACCACTCCCCAGAAACTTCTAATCCAGCCAGTGAAGTCATCTCACTTTGGAAAGAGAACTGAATGTGGAGGACCTGGGTTCAAAATCTGCCTCTGCTCATTACTGCTGTAAGCTTGGAGGGAAATCACTTAACCTCTCTGGGCCTCAGCTTCTTCATCTGGAAAATGAGAGGACTGGACTAGGTCTTTCTTAGTTCTGAATGCATGCTCCTATGACCCAGATCTATGCACCCAGCCTTTGTCTCTCTCTGAGTTTCAACCCCACATCACAAAGTACCTGTCGGACATTTCAAACAGGAGGTCCCAAGTGACATCTCAGACTCATCCACGCGCAAAACAGAACTCATTCTTTTTCTGCCCCCCAAACCTCTTCCAAACTTCCCTAATTCCACTGAAAGAGAGAGGGAGTAGGGAGAGGGAAAGACAGGGGAGTCAGGTCATTAAGTCTACTGAGAAGGCCACTCCTTCTGGCTCCCCTCTGACAGCTTTTTCACAACATTCCCTAGCTCTTTTGGCCCTTATGGGGTAGAGGAAGCCAAGGACTACTCACAGTTTGCTTTGCCATCCCAAAGCAGCAAACCTTGTGAGGTTGTTACATGGTTGCCCAGAAATGGCCTGGGCCCACTCCGGGGTGTATATTCTAGGTAGAGCAGACCACAGGCCTGCTGTTTGCCTCCCTCTAGTATCAGCTCAAACCTCACTTCTTCCACGAATCTTTCACAAACTGCTCAGACTCACACTGAGCTCCCAATTCAATTCAATTTAACACACCAAGTGCCTACCATGCACGAGGCAGTGTATTACCTCTAGAGATAAAAAGAGAAAAATAAAACGAGTACTGGGGATCAATTCCTAGAGTATTTCAGGTTTGCAGGATTTCTTTTGTTAGTCTTGCTATTTTATATTTTTTGAATATTTACTTCCTCTTGTTAGTGCATATTTCAGAAAACAATCAATTTCGTTTCCTTCCACTTTCTCTGCTGTGATTTCTGTCTTTTTTTTTTTTGGTCATT